ACCTGTATTATAATACGGCGGATGTAGTCGCGACGAGTCAAAAACTATCCTTTGTGAGTTTGCAACCCGGCGCAGTGGGAACCGATGCACTGTAATTGGTATGTTACTGGCAATTTGACGGTTCATTCAAACATCATATAATGTAATGGGAAAAATGTTGATTGTGTGTTTTATGTATCGTGGATTTAATGATATCGATGTACGGAGAGCGACTAATGTGGATCATAGCGGTCACAGGTAACATTAAAATTTGTTAATATACTTATTTACAAATTTTAATGAACAAAGTCATTTAGACACGAAAAGTATTAAAATCCCTTCCACTCAGAGATTGAACAATACTTTGCAAACCCATTATATTCAAAGGCATGCCAACTTCGTATAGAAATTAGTATCAAGAATATTCAAATCGTATTTAAATATCATTTCGATTACATTGTCAAAACAATGAATCTATTTTATATAAAAGATACACTCGGTTAGTGATCACTTATATACTATTTTATCTTTTCATTTATAAGTGGTTAGTAGACAATTATTATAGTGTTAAACGAAACGCAGCTCTATTTAAAAGACGTTTAAAAATAAAATAGTATTGGCAAGCTCCAAAAGTATAACTTACCATTCAGAATTATATAGTAGGCATACAAAAATTCGCCATCGAAGTTGATATTAATACGATAAAGGATAATTAATAAAATTATGGTTCCGTATAATATGTTCGTTCATTTAAAACAATTTCACGAACTTCAAAGCTGAGCTGAATACTTAAAGCTGTTGTTGATAATTCATTTATTGTCAATTATGGATTTTACATTAAATTCGTTACAAAGTACATTGACAGTCGGAAAGGGATAAAACCCGTGCAGAATGCAAATTTTGTGGTCAAGTAAGAATTATATTCGTTGTGCTATTTAATTGTAAAGAAAATAAAACCACTTAGTTATTACTATATCAGTAATTGAAACAGATAAAAAAGAAAAGGATATTATCCTCCTCATTTGATCCGTTTAAATTAATATTCCTTGATCCAGGATCCAATACTAAATATACAAGAGCTTCCTTCGCTGATATTTCCAATTTGGTACGGATTTTATTAAAAAAGGGCCCTTTTGCCTTTTCACAAAGAAAACATGACGTAAACTATTATTACGCTTCCCGGTATTAGGAGTTTCACAATTTAGTCTAATGTTATTTATTCCGCAAATTATAATTTACCTACATTACGGTTTTGTTAATATTACGCTCCCGGATCCCTAAAAACCTTGAGTCGAGTAGTTCAAATATACCTAAATAAAATATGTAGATAATATGAAATATATATAATGTACCTCAGAGATCGTAGGTAACAGAGCACCGAGGAAATGGTACATCAATAATTCACCTATGTTTTATGCGTTTCTTAAATAACATATATAGATAGGTATATAATTACGCACGCATTCGGGTAATCCTACATATATAAAACTTGATGTTTTTTATTATTTTATTAATTAATTCAAAAATATAATTCGTAATCTTACAGATGCCTGCATCATGCAGAATGTTTATCCTTCAAGAAGTAACTGTAGAAAGAGAGTATAGTTATGAATATTAGTTATTATAGTGTATTAGTACAACTGAACGGAAAAGATTTAGAGCTTTTTTTAAAAAAATCGTCACCGTTATATATAAAATCTTTCATGAACTCGGACATATCTCGTTACCGGTACTACGAGGTTAAACAAAAGATTTGTATCGTAAAAATATGTTGCCGCAGGCGGGCTTGTGAATGAAAACAAAAAGTTTTTTATAAAAAAAAGCGTAACTATCGAAAAAGCGACAAAAAAGTGAACAGCGACTTTCATTTTCTAGAACGTTCGTTCCCTGTGTGGCGGCGCGGCGTACATACAAAAGTTTCGTAATTCAGATGCTTTTGTGTGACATTTTTTCACATTTTTGTGAACTGAAATACGCAAACTTCGTAATTAGTAAATCCCAGTTTAAAACAATAATGAAAGTGAGGCTTCATCTGCCCGAGTGGCGCTTCCTAAAACTAGAGCAACGCGACTTTTTAATTGACATTTTTTTCCTCTGTATAGTACTTGTAATAAATTAGAATTTTAATTCAAAACTACATCACGGATGTGGGTTAAGTGATTAACTAGCTGTTTTGTTTGTGAACTTGTTGCCACAGAATGTTTGTTTTTTCCAGTGATTCGCGACAGAATTAAAGTCTAGTTTTGAATCTGCAACCGTTTTAACATACTAGCTTAAATAAGTAATGAATTAATAACCGTGTGTAACTTGCCAATCGAACCTAAAGTCTTAGCCGATGATCCATAAAATATGTAGAACCATGTAAAATTATATTCCATCTGCTACATGTAATGTGCGCAACATACAAAATGGTCAGTTCCGAGGCGCGGTGCGGGCGCGCGGCCACCAGGTGTCATGCATCCATAAGTGAGAAGGTTTCCATTATCGCATTCGCCACTCGATGACCAAAATAGGCCACAGACAAGTATTACTTTATACCCAAAGTGTTGATCAGTGGCAGCTATTATTATAACATTCGATGCAAACACCTGTTACCTACACGTCCTATAAAAACAGCACGGAAGTATACAGCCATGTACACAGAAACAGTTAAAGATTACGACTGTAATTAGCTAAAGAACAAATATGATAAATGCGTTTACTATTTGTATGGTGAGCATATTGTATTTAATGGAAAAGTTATATTTATAACCAAAGAAATTACAAATTAACACAATAACATGTCGTATGTTTTGTCATCAAAGAAATGGGGAGGGCATTCAGGGAGACAGTAATACATGTAGTTGGGAAACTCCGTAGGGAATTGGTATGGCAGTATGCAGGCACGGGTATTGGACGAAATTAAGTACAAGAAAATGTTGGAGACAAAATAGTAGCTGAATAAACAAACATAGCTCACAATTTCGGAGCAGTGGACAAGCGCACCGGCTGCCACGATTGAGACAACCTCCTGGGTAAAACCAGTTCTGGCGGACCACGTTAATTACACTCGCCGACGATTCCGAGCAGATGGCAACGCTACTCAATTTATATTGCATTACTCATCTTAACATTAACTTTATTGTATTCCTGCTCAACTTGAGTCAAACTTAAATAAAACAGTTCCTTATAACTTATTCCGAAGCAATTTCTTCTTAAACAGTTCATACAAAATGATAATCCCATACCTAAATCGTTTGTAATCCAAAGTCTTGTAAGGCGACCCAGGATTTTTGTTTTAATGAATTTCCAACTTAACTTGGACTTAACATGTACTTATATGGCTAAAAAGTCGAAAACCCGCTTGCATTTTGTCATGACCTTATTCTTTCGCACGATGGTAAACATTAGTGAATGCAAAAGCTAAAGGGGAACTGAAGTTGTATACGCCTACGCCGAGTTTGAATATTCTCGAGAAGTTTTGCATGCGAAATCTTTCGTTACGAGCCGAGTCTAATAGCAAGTATGTTCGTGCCAAATTGCAGAAACTACAATATAGGCTCTAAGAGCCCGACTATAAGAGTCATGTGAAAATCACTGAAGAAAAAGCTTGGTCGAACGGTATGAATATTCCGGCGGCACGTCGCTACGTTGCCGCATCGCAACCCGTCACAATCTTCATTAGCATTCTGTCTCTCCCTTTTTGTCTCCCATTTCTCCTTTACAATTTTACCTGTTTCCTCTGAATTTTTCATGCATGTTTTTGTTAGAACACCAAAGTGAACACAAGACGAAATATCCTAATAAAAATATTTGGGACTACTTTGACATACTGAATAGATAATATTGATATTTTGCCAGTCTTTCATTGCAACGCGAATGTTTTAGGGTTGCTAAACAGTTTTATACTTGAGAATGCTATGAAAACTTTTGAAAAATCCTGTAAAAATTGATGGATAAATGTTTAAATGGTCACAAGGAAACGTGTTAAATAAGAAATTATTTTTAATTCCAATTTCTTGGAAATAGTCTTACGTAATCCTATTTTGCTGTCTAGTTATTATAAAATAAGTTTTGAAGTATTTTAAAATAAATTTACTTTCTTAGTACATTCTTGCCACAAGAACAAGGTCCTTACTTACCAACATTGCTTGTATAAAGCTTGTGTGCATTAATTTTAAGTAAGTGGGGAACTAACCACATGATGGCGCTTAAGTTTGTCACAGCAAAAGTGTAATAATCGGCTATGTGCCAGGTGCTATAAAAATCTGATGAAGCACTTACATTCAATTACAAACGCCACTTAAGATTCTTACCATGTAAGAATCTTTGTTCTACAACTACGTCGCTTTACTACTGCGAAATTGTTCAGAAGCACACACACAATAGTCACTTTCGTCAACAATAGTATAGTTCAATAAATTATATTAATTTACAAACAGTAAATTTACATCATAAATATATAGTGTTAGTTACATCATAAATGAATAGTGCACTTAACTGACTACGTTACCTATGCGACTAAATAAATAGTAAATATGAAATTAATTCAACGAATCACGAAACCAATGAACTGTTACCAAATATACATTTCATGTATCAATTATTATCACATTTAATGCCAAAATTTAACCGCGACCGCACTTATTTAGCGTAAGCAATTAGTGGGTAAACGGAATATATTTATAATTAACCTTCCTACATGTGACTGCAGGATGTGAAGCTAGTTGGCAAAAATCCTTAATACAGCAAAAAGTCCAAGGTTCGCTAGCAACAACTTGTACTACGAGGCAACCATGCTTTGTTGTTAAACATTTATTAAGCGCTATGAATAAGCTGCTCACCAAAATATTAATAAAGATTAATTAAATTTATTAATTAGATAGGTATCGTACGTGTACTAAAACATGGAGGCGAAGAATATTTAGCGATTGTAACTTAATCAGTATTACTAAATGATTAATTAATTATAATATAGAAGACTAATTCTACTATTTAGAAAACAATAACCCATCATTTAAATGTATTTTTCGTTGATCCAGGTCAAAGCCAAGCAAATTGCTGACATGAATCTGGAAAACGAAATATTGGAACCGTTTGAAAACCGAGCTGGACCGCTTAAGCCCGAGCGTAATCACAAGTACCGCCATAACAAGATGGTGCATGCACAAATATCAAGGCTCGCTCATTCTCAGGATCAACTCGATGAGTTCCAACAGAGTCTGCAGACTCAGATCCTTGATGTTCAGCGCAGAATGGATAGATTCGAGGAACCCAACTGGAACCTACTGTCAGCTAAAGTGGAATTTTTAGAACTGGAAACCAAGGTATTGGATGATCATTTGAAGAACGTAACTCAGAAGATTTCCGACTTCGACAAGGTCCACGCTTCTATATTGGAACTGCGAGAAGATGTTGAGAGCATCGAAAACAAAGCTGATAAAACTATTCCTGAATTCCGTAAGGAGATATCAAAACTGGACGTTAATTTTGCTCAGGTAACTATTGTTATTTTAATTAAATCAGAAATTTTGTTTAGGTCTTTAATTCATATACGATTTAACATTTTCTAGATAATGTTACTGACAATAAGTGTTACGATAGTTTTGAGATTATTTTATTAAACAAATTTTAAATTTAACTCATAAACTTTTAAAAGATTTCAAGTTTGTTTAATAGTTGCATATATTAATATTCTTCTTTTTTGTTAATCTAGCTTAACGCTGCCTCGTCGTACTTCAAGGAGGACCAGGAGAATCTGAGGCAGTCTGTGAAAGCAATAGCGGTGAGCGTAAGCAACGCTATCGACAGGGCTGAGATGGACCGGCTTGTTATTAAGAAGATCAACGAATCTGTGGAGGAACTCGAAGCGCGATCCCGTCAACACTTCTATCGGCTGAACGATCACATACTGAAAGTAAGATATTAAAGTCAAATCATTTATTTGATAGAGACCAATTTATATAACTTTTTACATGGCAATGAAATTTTAAATTAAATAAAAAAGTATAATTTTACTTAAAACATAATCTCGTTTTGTAAATATTTACACAATATTAATATGGTTTCTAATAAGTTTACTTTTTTTGACACAGAGCGAGGCCAACCATGACATCAACCAAACGGAAAGCATTCCTCTACCGGAACTGATGGGAGAAGTGAAAGAGCTGCAACCAGTAGAACGTGAGTACGAAGATCTCGTCAACCAGCTCCCAAGGGACTGCTCCAGCATCTCCGGACCTGCCGGCGTTTACCTCATCCACCCTGGCCAAGCGCCGTTCGACACGTGGTGCGTAAATGGAAGCACCTTGATACAACGACGATACAACGGCTCGGTGGAGTTCAACCGAAAGTTTTCCGAGTATGTGCACGGCTTCGGCGACCCGTCTTCCGAGTATTGGTTAGGCCTGGAATCTATGCACCGATTGACTGCCGATAATTGCTCGTCTATGCGTATTGACATGAGTGATATATATGGAGGATTCTGGTATGCTGAGTACGAACATTTCTACATTGGAAGCGCCGACTCTGGATACACGTTGGAAGTGGGCGGATTCAAGGGTAACGCCAGTGATGCGTTTGAGTACCAAAACCATATGGAATTTTCAGCTATCGACCGAGACCGTGATATCTCGAACACTCACTGCGCCGGAAACTATGAAGGAGGATGGTGGTTCTCCCATTGCCAGCACGTCAACATCAACGGAAAGTACACCCTGGGCCTGACTTGGTTTGATTCCGTGCGCAATGAATGGATTGCAGTTGCAACGAGTGAGATGCGCATGTCGCGTCGGCCTGGTTGCTCTTAAACATCAACCTTAAGTTAGACATTCATAATCACGTAGAACTAATAACGATTCATATTATTAATAATACTATTCACTTTCAATTATGCCAAAGATAAAAAATAAGTATGGGTATTTTTATTTCATTAGGTCGACTATCATTAGTTTCGTAGACAGTATTAATTTTTCTGACGTGCGTTCTCTTATTTCAACTTTTACTTTATCGACTTCAGTTTTGATACTTAGTTACATTCCATTTTGTATCTGATTAGTTTTGGTTTATCGAAGTGTAAAGTTAAGTTTTGGGTGTGTACTTATAATTTAAATTGTCAAGTGAGCCATATTTTTATAGCGTATCTGATCTGACGCCACAAACGGGTCTTTATATGAATGTTAAACAGCCCGACCCGGCAAAAATGTGTGCGCGTTGTATTTGTCTTGTATATGTTAATGTAGCTTGGATGCAGACAACTTATTGCTAAGTTTATTTATCTATATTTTCTTACTACTTGTTTAAAAGTTTGTAAATATAATTTTATTAGGCAAGAGATGCCATATTCTGTTCCGCATTCATGGCAGATTTAGTCAAAGGAGTGTAAATGATAATATAAGCAATTAGCTAGTAAGAATGATTAATTAGAAAAGCATTAAATGCTTTGATTTGAAGGACTTGTTTTAAGAACACATAACAAGGGGATCGGGAGGTAAATATTTATTTATTACGATATAATTTGTCAATGATCTTTATTACATTAACGACATTGTTTCTGTTTTTGATAAAAGACTGTCTGCTGAAAGCGCGTTTTGCTTTCGACGAATTAAAATCATTATTGATGTAATTTATTTAGATTTGATTGGTATTGGCATTTATATAATAAGGTAATAATAAATTATATAATAGTGTAATTCAATATTATTCACACAAAAATAATGACATATAATCCAGATACTCGTAGTTTGTACTCTCGTCTCGTGTATGGCATAACATACACATATGTAGCGTCTTAATCCAAATTAATCTCTTTGTAATAGTAATAGTATGCGCCAAATGCGCAATATAATTCCATGTACCGATCAATATTATACCAAATAAAGATGAAAAAAATAAATATTGTTTTATTTCTATACCAATTTTTTTTTATTTGTTTACCTATATACCAACAACGATGTTTGAGAGCCAAGAAAGAAAATAAAGAATGCAGATTTTAAGTAACTTGGATAAAAAATATAAAAATAGAGATGGGTACATGAGAAGTAGGTAGGTACAGTATTATATTCTTTGACAACAGCTTTTTATTATTTATAGTTGAACAAAGATAAAGAAATTGAATGAGTTCGTTTAACCAGGTATTATAAGACTTAGCTTCAAAGAAACAAACATTTTTGTTTTGATGGTAATTTTTGAACTAATAATACTTACGCAAATGACTACCATTTTTACTATTATTTAATTAAATTTTACCATTATTATGTAAGTAAATACATACATATGTACATCACACTCAGACTTGAACAACAATTTGTGAATCATACAAAGAATTGTCTGACACCAGATTTTATGTCTAAAATATATTAGAAGCTAAGTTTAACTAATTTACTAACCCGATAAACACATATATTTCATATAGACACAAATCTAATTCAAATACAGAACAACTATTACTGCGTCAGTTTGCATTACCGCAGTAATGCAAACATTAGTAATAAAAATTAAAAAAAAGACTCCCGATATCTAATATTCCTATAAAAAGTAATAATTAAAAGAAAACGTGGCGTTGGTGAACCGATCCAAACATTTTATTATCAACTACATAATAATATTGCTCTTTTGTCGGGGGTCTAATTTATTTTTTTATTTTATACTTATAAAATAACATACTACATACATAATACCTACAAAAGGTATTTTATATAATTTTCTCTCGATTAAGTCATCAACATTCCCTTTCAGTGCGCTTTTATTTGACACCCTACTCGAGTATATTTGCAGACCTTCGGTATTTTCACTGCTATGGACAGTGATTGGTCGCAAAGATTCGAAGGATACTTCTTTAAATCCTTGGTATACAAGCTGGTTTTTGTGTACAAACTTTAAATCAAATTTTTCTATACTTTTTCATGTGATTATCTTATGGTAAGCAATCAGCAACGCCCATAGAGCGTGTCAATGGTGACAACGGAGGAGTAACGCTTAGGTTTTGGAGATTCAGGGATTGAGAGAGAGGAATTGGCCTCGGAAACTTCTTGGAAAATGGTAAGCTCACAATAAAATAGAGACTTATAATTAATCATTTACATAACATATCAAGCACAAGATGCCCACTGACTGCTTAACACAGATATTCCATAACTCAACGGGTCTTACTTAATACTATTAGAACGATTTGATGATATACATATAAGTACAAATAGTAGTAGTAAGAACTCATTAAAGATATTTAGATGGTTATAAATTACTTCTTCGTTTGATACTGCAATAGCCCTTGACTAGATAGACAAACGCGGCATGTGGAAATTGACAGCTCCGTAGGTGTCATGCATGTTGCCGGGATTACGGATGGAAACGCAATAATTTACCGCATCCCCGTCCTGCAGCAGGTGAAGAAACGGGGTGGTTTTTAGTCAGTAAGAGTTTGACCATCCCCTTTTTACACATCACATTATATGGTTGAGTTAGATGGTGCTGGTGTACGTATCATGTTTGTGAACGGGAACCATCAGCTCCACACTGTCTAAATATATTGTCCATAAGATTATTTTCTTTTTCGTTACTTTGACTAAATATTAGTGTTACCCTGTTCTCATGCACGGGTCTGCGGTCGGCGAGTAAGGGCAGCTCGCCGCCCGACCAGAACCAGGCCCGAGCGTACGGCGCGTAGCGTTCCGCGCGCGCCTCAAAGGCCCTAAAGGGCTGATGTTCAGCCGGGGTGGCGGGGTAAGCGCAATGAGGCACCGCAACCTCGGCCCAGAGCAGGAGAAGGAACAGGGGGGTTTTTAGTCAGTAAGAGTCAAACGGGCGGGAGAAGTCATTTGATGATTTTCCCCTCACAAAAAAAACACTGTTCTCATTATGGAACCAACTAGAGTAACAAATAATCTGTTTGTGAAACTGATTGAAAAAGAGTAACTATGGAGTTTCTTGATCGTTCTTCTTTATCGGAATCTACACTTTGGAACGAGCAAATGCCTTTACTAAGAGGATTGTCCGATATACTGAAATTATTTTTTATCTTCGATTTTTGTTTAATTGGAATAAATGATTTTGATTTCACTTGTTACTAATAACGAGCCTTTCATTTTCAAAAAGATTGAATTTATTGCTTTAAAACCTACGTTAATTAGATGCGATGCGAGTTTGTCAATAATCGGCATACTTTGCGAAGTTCGGTGATATAACGGTGTAGAGACCAACTTACGTTTTGAAAATACAGTTTACACAATTGAATACATGGTATTGAAAACAAATGGTATTGTGGGCTGTCGAAAAATGTCAGCGTCAGTCTATAACTGAAACAGGAAAATTTGGAAAAATGTTGATGCCTACAAAAACAGAGTTTTGCACTGTTATGCTTACCTGTGAAAAAGTAAATTTACAATACCATACACCACATTCAAAACATCTATGGAACAAGATAGACCAGGTATTTAAGGACCCTTCAACTATATTAATTTATTAATGCAGCAGACTGGAAAATTTTCATTAAAATTCGAATGAAATACTAACTTGAATTGAAACCACAGTTCCATAATTAAGGACATTTTAATCTTCACAAATAATGAGGAAATGCAGGCTGTTTAGAGTGGGGAATAATCCCTTCTGTAGAACTGCCAAAGGAACTCATAATAAATAATAACTCAAAACAGTGTTTTCAAAGTATTTAAATTATTACTTGCTAAATGTAGTTTGGGGTACCTTCCCGAGCGCGCTTGTTTTATTGCACCTTTCTTATATTTCAGAGCAAGCAGCAGCGTTTGTATGCCATACAAGCCTTAATATTTTACGCTTATCTGTCGTATCCGAGTAGTTCGCCATAGAAGTAGAAAGCAATATAAAAGATTCAGATTATCAGAGAGAGCTATTTTCTGGTCTCTGTTTAGTTTATAATCATCATTATCAGCCTATAAGTACTCACTACTGAGAAATCATCACGCTTTCTTAAAGCGGATTATCGATTTCAAATTAATAATTAAAAATTATGCGTCCGAGTTTCCATACGATGTATTCTTCCACTATATTTCAGAGCTGTCTTAAGAGTTTTAGAAAGCACAAAAAAAAAGAAAGAAAGAAAGCTCAGAAAAAGCAGATTGGTACTTGCCCGGTTTTGAACTCGCAACGTCTTGCAAAAGCTGCCGCTATCACCTTCGAGCCACCAGAACATACTAGATATATAATGCCCTTCGCCCTTTGTGCTGATATCTATATCTATTTTTCGTCGTTTCCGAAAAAATACTGCACAGAAAGAAAAGCAGACACAAAAATCAAAATATTTTTTTCCAATTAAAAAAATATTATTTTGATTTTAAGAAGAAAACACTTAAGACAAAAAATTTATTTCTATAACACAAATAAAACACTTCAGTATTATTTATTCACTTAAAAATTGAGACAACATTCTTAGACTACGTATATGACCGAGGTCACACGTCTGGGCTCGAATTTAGTGATAACCTAACATGAAGCCGACGCGAAATGAAGCTTGCTGTACTGTGAGAGTGTGAGTGAGATTACTAGACACCCAGCTCCTCCAGCATTAGGGAAACTAGTTGGTAGTAGTAGAGGTATTAATGACTACTTGCCCAGTAGGTGATCAATATACACATTAATGTTCCTATACTTGACTAAAAACAGAGGTTGGAATGGAAATTGAACAAATAACAAAGGTGCACTTAGGAAAAATAGAAGAAACTCATTAACGTCCGAAAATTTGTTTACCTCAAAAGGTACATTCATGTCAACTTACACGGATGCATTCCAATTCAGAGATATAGATGTAAATATATATTTTTCGTCAAAAGAACAGACAAACCAACGAGACTTTAAGCTCAAATAAAACGACGGGATGAAAATGAACGATAGTGGTTCCCATTTTACATAAAGAGATTTCACCTAAACTTCAGACTGGTTTGTTCCGTGAGCTTTAGTTCTGGTAATCGCATCAATAAAAGCTAGTTTTGCTTGAACATCGTTGTAAGTTAGAATGTATTATGGTTTGCCGTTTGGTTGGTTTATGTTAGAGGATTTGTCAACACAAAACGACGTGTAATGCTGCAGATAATATCCGGGGCTGTGAATCAAACATTATAATGTACCGCGGCCTCGGCTTAGAGCAGGAGAACTTCAGGAAAACTTTAGTCAGTAAGCGTGTGACATTCCTCTTCTTCATCCAAGGCGAGAAAAATAGCTTGATGAGTTTTCCACATATAGGTAAGTTTTCTACATTTTTAGCTGAAAGCACCAGGTACATAAATGTTCTAAAATAAAATGGTTATCTAAACAATTCATAAGAAACAGTCTCATTAACATAATGCTCAACTCGACAGACCTAATTATGATTATTAATTACTTTTTAAGTGTTTTAATCATCCTGTGACAAACACCAGTGGAACTGTAGTATATGAGACCCATTGTCAGTCTATGATCAGATGTAAAACCCGGCTTACCTTTAAAAAACAACATTCAATCACAAATCGTTGATGATGATGACAAAGACTTTTTTTGTCAGGGGAAAATCATCAAATGACTTCTCCCGCCCAGGATTAGGCGAGAGAGAGTGTCAGTCTCCTACTGACTAAAAACCCCCCGTTCCTTCT